AGAACTTGTAAACAGTTCTCCAAAGACATGTCAGATAATAATGGAACAAACCTCAGGATTTGAAAAATTGAAATCTTCAAAATTTGCAGCTTGTGATGAACCGTGAACCATGCATTTTGCGCAGTTCAACCACTGTTCAAACTGCCGCAATTTTACTAGTTGTTCGATGGCTGAATAACACTATCTGCCGAGTAAATCGCTATCCAGTGGATAAGTGCTAATAAATAAACCATGCTATCCACTGGATAGTGATTTATCCGGTGTGCAGCGCTATCCAACGTTCAGGTAGACAACAACAGCAACAACCTTCCACTTAGAAAAAAGTTACATTGTACAGAATAAATTAATTCGATCAGGCAAAAACCACTCAGAATAGTATAAACTAAACGAGCTGAGTAGTTTCAATAAATTATGAGCTTGCATTTTCTGGGTTGTATACACAGATGCAGCTACTAGAGAGGATAAGAACAAGATAAGAAGATAAATAATGAAGTAATGAAATAAATTAATTTAATTAATGTAAAGAAAATACATTTAGGAAACAAATTGAAAAGAAATGAAGAAAAAACGGTAAAACCTGAAAATGCTACATTCCAGCAACATTCATAGTGTAAGTGACGTACAACTTGTATCCATAGCATATCCTATATGCACTCAGCTGATTTTCACAGAGATTGATATATGCAACCTAGCATTTTGTCTGGGGTTGAGAATTTGACACTCTTTCGCAATTGACCAGGAAAAGAAAAACTCTATAATTACACTCAGGAAAACATAGACTGAAAACATAGGAAAGTTATTTTAGATGGCAAGTTAAGGTCAAAACCATGTAGAACTGCTCACTGAGTAGTTAAGCATCATGATGAAAATGCAAATAGATGTCGACACATACAACCGTCTCTTTCTTTGCTAATAAGAATTCTTAAGGATAGAGTGATCAAGAGTGTTACTTACAGAGTGCGTAGAGTATCCAGTGCTGCAAATGTTCCTTGTAGAATGTATGTGAGAGAGTTAGAGCGCAAATTCCTGAAAACACATTTTGCAATTGAACAATAAGTCGTAGCTTGAAATATTCTAAGCCCTGATAGCTTGGCTGTTCAAAACTGAATGGCCTGTGTTCTTTTCCCCATTTTTGACACTGATCATTGAACACAGGGCTGGACAAAAGTGCCCCCATTATGATTATTTGTACTTCCCCTAAATCCCTTAAAAGACTTTCAAAGATCTTGAAAAAAATCTTTGATGAAAGATCTTGTAGCGATCTTAGCAAGGATCTTCCACAACCTTCAACGATCCAGCAAAATCTCTGGGCCAAATCGATGATCAACACTTTGACCAAACCTTAAGGATCTTGGTTAAAATCTTTGAAGACCTTGACTTGGCAAAAAAATATATCGCCACGACTCTTGAGAAGGTGCTTTGACAATCTTGATTAAGATGCTTGTTAAGGTCATTATGAAGATCCTAAAGGATCCTTGATAGAACACAATGCAATTACAGGGGATGCAGGGAAGAATGCAGTGCATTGCTCAAACTTGGACTACTTGATCCAGAGTCTGATGTACAATCCATTAGACCATTGCAACTCTAAATCTGTACATGTGGTTAATAACTGCAATTATTGTTCACAACCTGTGCATAATATTGCATAATTGTGAAATTAATGTTTTGAAAAAAACGTTTTCAAACGTCTGGCAGGATAGCAATTCATTAGATAAAATCAAAAGACGAAGAGTAACTCATCTATTACATACAGTTGAGTGACAGCTGGCAAATGGCTTTTCCCTTGCACGGCGAGTGGAACATAATGAAACCTGTTATAGTCCAGATGCCTGCAATAAAATAAGAACCTTTGTCGCTAACCTAAAGGATTCCCCTTGCTATTTTCCAGAAGCATTAAAATGAGTATCAGAATGAATCTA